TTCCGATCTAAAAAAGGGGCCTATTATATCCATAAAAAAAATAAAAGTAATTTTTTATCCCAAGGAAAATTACACACAAATTGTAAGATGGATCAAAAACATTTTGATAGCATATCTGGAAGGCCTGAAGTTTGCATGACACTGCCATTTGAATTTACTCCCGCGTGAAGTTAGTAATCTAGGGTTGAGCATCTCTTGAATAAATCGTTCCCAATCGGGAGTGAATCGAGACGTAATCTCGTCCTTCCGCAACGTCAGTCGTCGATACGCTTCATTCGTCGTCGCGAAAAATTTCGCGGCATATTCAGAACAGCCGAAAAGGGTGTCAGTAGGTTGCGCACGCGAGCGCGCTGTCAAACGCGCCGCATTTCTAGGTTATGCCGTGTGACGTGTGTGTCGTCGCGCGAACGAAACGCATTCCACGAAAGCGATCGTGGATAGAGAGAGAAAGAGAGAAAAATAAAGACGATCGGTGATTTTTACCTGTCCAGCTCCGACAGCGTCTGCAACTCCTGCGGCGTGAGATTGATGTCGTCGGTGTCCTGTGCCATTTTTCGCACTCGCGAGGGACGACGTTCACAGCAGCATGTCCGCGAAAACGGAGATCGTGACGACCCGACGTCTCCGAAAAGCCCGACCTACGCCGTCGACCAAGTAGCGCGCGCGCGAGTCGATCCCGCGGCACCGTCACCTCATCGCGACGAGTTGAGGATATCGACGGAGTAGCGGCGGCGACGACGACGATAACAGCGCGAACTGACTCGAATCCGTCGTATACGACCGTCACCGCGAACGTTCGGCGTCCGAATGCGCCCGAGCGCGGCCGAACACTCGCGGAACGCGATACTCGAGACGCGCATGCGTGCGGAGAGAAAAAATATGGCGCGAAGCATTTGAATAAAGGCAATCATTTTTATGTGCACAGAATATATAGATTGAATAAGAAAAAGAAAAGAAATATATATATATATATATATAATGTTTAATTTAAATACAAGTATATATTCATGGCTTGGGTGTTTTAATTGTGAAATCAAATTTCATATTATCATTTAACTATATGGCGAAATTTTCTGTTTGTATCACATTCGTCATGTGATGTTATCGGAAAGAGATCGAACGTAAAGAAAACAAGGCAAAAATAGAAGATAGAATGATACTTGTGTCGACTTGAGTCACTAAATGGAAAGCACCCAAACTTGTGTGTAATGTGTCATATCTTAAAATTATGGAGTATAATGTTATACGTGCTCAATTCTTTACACAGATATACAAGTTTCCCTATTATAATTGTAACTTCTTTTCTTTTCAGCACCAAGATGAGTATACCTGCAGTTAAAAAAAGTAAAGAAGATGCGAACAAAGAAGCTTACAGTATAGATGCCTCAAAGGAAGCGAGATCTATGTTAGAGAAGATCATGGGTGATGTGAGCAAGTCATCAGCGACTAAACAGATTCTCATTGGTACCACATCGGGATGGTATTGTATATTTTATATAATTATTATACGATTATTTGTTCTTGAATGTTTAAAAGTGTTTATTTGGTATGAGCTATGTTTTTTATATTAATTATAGATATTTTATTAATTATAGGGTAACTGGATTTGTCACCATGAAGGTTGAGAAGATAGCAGCCTGTGCAGTTGGTGGTGGGATTATCATGTTGCAAATAGCCGCACACCAGGGTTATATTAAGATTAATTGGGACAAGATTACGAGAAAAGCTGAAAAAATAACGGATAAGATGGAAGAAAAGATAACCGGCGAGGGACCAAAATTCATGGATAAGGTAAATCCATGATATTAAATTGTTATAATTGAATGATTCCACTCAGAGTTCTGTTGTTTTCCTACTTGGTCTTTTAGAAAAAAAGATAAACAATTTTTCTTTTAACTCAGAGAATGTTTATCAAAGTTAACGCAATGAATATTTCAATTGACAATTATTTCAAATTTTATAATTTTGTTTTTAAAATTTGATGACTTATGAATTCCATGAAACATTTTGCATATGTTGCTCTGCATCTTTTTACATGCATAATGTTTTTGCTGCTTGCAGGTAGGGAAACTATGGAAGAAGAACTCATTCATTGCAACAAGTTTTCTCGGTGGTTTCATTATCGGTCTATCTTGGTGAAGTAAAGAACAATAACTTTGAAGTTTTGTGCAAAAATGTAAACAGACATTTAGTATGTTGCTATTATCAATATTGATGTGTTAACAGTATAACATTGCCTACTGTAATAATAACATACAATGTCGCAATACCATTAAAATTTTAATATTTATATTAATGCCAATGGAAATCGATAGTAATATTAATTTTAATGACAATGAAAACTATATAATATCAATATTATAATTTTTGTATAGTTATCAATAAAAATGTATAAAATAAAATTATAAATTTATATAGAGTGCGAAAATGTTATCGACTCCATTCCAGAGCGTAATCCCGATTTACTTACTGATAAAAGTTATCGTGTTTCAGGTCGAAAGATACGTCGATAGAAAGCTGGACAAAGCCGAGCAATTGCTGAAACAAGGAGAGAAACGTACGCGGCGTTGGTACCACGCTTTCATAGGCGAGGACGATATCTTCCAACCAAAGGAGATCCACTTCTTTCTAGTTTCGTTCGTGGCGGGAGTCGCGCTTGGTATCGCTACGGCTAACTAGGTAGTAAATTGCTGCACTCTGAATGCTACCAAGAGAAAGATTGATATTTCTGTCGCACCAAAAGACAGCCACTCCATCATTGTCGATCACGACGACATCGTCGACGAGTACAATAACACTATCATGAACGAGGTGAGAAACAAAATCAATGAACTGAAGAAATGGGTGGCGCGAACTACGCTTAATCCTAGATAAGTAGATTTATTTTTTAGTCTGTCAGTTGACACTAGCGATGAGTAAAACTCGCTCGTGTACAATAGAATTGCTTCTAATTTTACGCACAACTGTGTTTAAGATTTTTGTATAGATGGAAAATGTATTACAAAATACAGATCTTCATCTGTGAACAAAATTAATAAGTATAAATAGAGTGAATTTTACTCATTGCTTTCAATAATCTCTTTCTAGAATGAATACATCAAACAAATGAAAGTCACTAATATTTTTTTCACTGAAATTATATAAAAAGAATTACTTATTTGAAATTTGATAGACATTGCTAATTATTTACTTCATATGTTCTATTTTGTGAATTCGCAAAAATGGGGATATTTCTTATAAACCAAAATTTTGAAATCTTGATCAATTTTACTGTTTCCATTTGCACACAAGACATGTGCGAATACAGAAGTATAGATGATGTGTGTGTATAAAACAATAAAGAGATTTCTTGTTCGTTCAGAATGCAGCAAGAAATTAGTCATCTTAGGAGATATAAACCTATTGTTAGTATTATATTATATACTATACCTGTCTTATTATTGTAAAGAATCGCGACTCTTTCTTTTCCTGTTATTTATACACTTAATCGATCTACATTTCCATCGCGTTGTTTATATATACTCTTTCTTATACAAATATCTTAGTACATATGTACCACATCTCAAATAAAAATTATTTAACGATGTTTGCTGCAAATTTAATTAGTTATTTATATTCAGTCATTCATTTTACTAGTTATGCTTGTCATAGTAGTGATTTAGAGATAACAGTAACTTAATTTATCTATATAAAAGAATTATTAAATTATTTCTAAACATATATTAGTAATGTCTGCAAAAAGTATTGTGATTAATATACTTAAAAACCTTACTTCAACAGTATTTAGATGATAGAAAGCTTTTTCCTACTATAACCAATCTAAAAATTATTAAGTTTGATATAAAAATTATTGATAAATTAATATGGTGGGATAAAGTGTAAATGAAAGAATGAATATATACATATTTTAAAACAATAAATTATATATAATATATATATATAGCAGTATAAAACATTGTCTCACAAGATGTCGAAATACTGTAAGCGTATATCATACCTCAAAATCTTTTCAGACACTGCATTATTATAGTCCTGAGACGTTTACGGATCTTTTGATCACCATTGCAGAAAATGTGCGTGGAGTTGTCACCAATCTGAATAAGAGTGTCTTCATCTTGCTGCAAGCAAACATGTAAATGTATAATTTTACACGTAGAATTCTTCTTTATATCAATTTCAACTTATATATATAGGTATATATATTTATCAAAGTCTGCAAAAAGTATTGTGATTAATATACTTAAAAACCTTACTTCAACAGTATTTAGATGATAGAAAGCTTTTTCCTACTATAACCAATCTAAAAATTATTTAGTTTGATATAAAAATTATTGATAAATTAATATGGTGGGATAAAGTGTAAATGAAAGAATGAATATATACATATTTTAAAACAATAAATTATATATAATATATATATAGGTATATATATTTATCAAAGATTGTTATTTATTGAAAAACTATTTAGATGTGTGAGGCGAGCCATACCAAATGAATACTCGTGGATGTAGGACTGTGTTGTAATTTGGCACCTTGAATACCCTCTTGATTGAGTTTCTGCAGTAACTCCTGCGGATCAAGAATCCCGTATTCATGTTTCCGCTCCTTTAGCACTTCTTCCTTGACGGGCGCGGGCGAACCTGACGGCGCCTTCCTTTTTCCGCTCGGTCTATCTTCTATACTCTGGAATTTAACATATTTTCAAAAACTTTGCTATCCATTCTGTTGAAGAATTACAAATATAAGATTAAATATCGCATTCTTCTCAAATAAATTTTCGTTCGAAAATGGTTTGAAAAAAGCATTCCGCACAATATTCTTCACTATAAAATTCGCTATAAAATTGATATATGTACTTTTTTTTATTCTGTATATATTGACACACAATTACCTTTATGGTGTACACATTATCCTTGACTTCAAGCTCTCCGGTAACGGAAGCGAGACTCAAGCCGGGTCGCACTTCATTCGGTACGATGTTACTAGCTAATTCCGGCTCGATAAACACACGACCCTTCTTTCGCTTTAACGGCAATTTTATCACTTCCCCACGTTTAAACGTAATCAAGGGTTTTTCCTTGAAGAGAGATTAGTGCAAGTTATACATTCGTACCTTATACATATAATGAATTCTAATATAAATTCTTATATAAAACATGGATTATGAAATAACTTGTTACATTAAACGAAAATAATACAAACTCCGACGGATTCGATGACGAGATCCGTTCTATGCGGTGCCGTTAAAGGAGGTTGTGTATAAACCTCTGGAATAACTAGATGCTCCGGCTTCAGGTCCCGTATGAGCTTATTAGCCTGAGTAAAATTGAGGGAGGTGTCGATGGGGCAATGCACCGCTTTCATAGCCAATGGTTGAAACGGAGCGAGGGCATCCAAATACGGGAAATCTGGCTCTGCGGAGGAATACGATTAGAAAAATATTGCAATATACTATCAAAATAAATAAATGTGCAATCTCGCATTGAAATGAATAAAATAAACTAATATACAAGAGAGAGAAAGAAGTATTCAGAAAGTAACCTAAATCATATGTATTATAAATTGGAATATTAGAAAGTTTATAACCATTTACATTGTGTGCATATCCTGCATATTTTTATTCAGATATAAAATAAGAAGAAAAATTTGCCATGTTACTTTCTGAATAGCTCGCGTACAATTCTATATCAATATGTATACCAGTAAAAATGACAGTGTGTAGGGGATTGTTGCCCCACAACTGCACAAAGTGCACAGCATCACCGAATCGAAGACTAGGATGGCCGCAGAAAACTACACACGGTTGTCGATAGTCGTTGCTGAATCCCTCGGCGTACGTGGACGTATAATGCTTCAATCGCGCGTTCTTCACGAGGAAAGCGTGTGGGAACGGTTCCTCTGGAAGATAAACTTTGTTTTGCTTATTTGTCGACAGCCTAGAAGTAAAGGATAACAGTAAAACGGAATAAAAAGTTGATGGAGAGCGTATCGGGAATCCCTTAGTATACTAATTGTAAGTAGCGTTATTCATTCATACCATTCGGCCAGGATGTTCGAATAAGCCAAGGACGACTCTGCCACTGGTGAGATGAAAAACAGAGGAACCTGTGTGAAGCCTGACTTGTCCAAGTGAGTGCTTAAGCATTCGAATAAATCATACGGATAGCAAGGTATCAGAACGCATCCACCGGCCCTAAGAGTCACAGCTATAAAATTTTTTTCACAAGAAATAAACAATTATTTCAAGCTTATCTAATCCAGAATAATTAACAAAATAATATTTAGTAAAATCGTGGCGAGAAAGATTACTTCTTCGTAGATGTAGACAAATAAAGATAAAAAAATAAAGAATAGTATGAAAGCATCGAGGAATTTCCACATGTTTACTATCACGTTTAAACTTACCGACAGTCATACATAATTCTCCAAGCATTGTGTCCGGATTAGCAGTCGGTGTTTGCGTTAAGCCTGTTAATATCAACATATTAGCGTGTTTCAGTGTGGCTTGTTCCATAGGTCTCGGATGAGTGGTCAACGTGGACGACCCGCTGACGAAAGCAACCTTTTCATGGTCGCAGGATATCAACCAATTGCTGCTACCTAAACAATAACCCGAGCTGATTGGCGTAACTGTTAGAGCGCCATATATATCCTGCAAATAGATCAAATGTAACTCAATCACTGTCTAAAACTAACTTGTATTGAAAAATATTAAAAGCATTATTATACATTTTAAATAATATATTTTTCTATTTTCTAGGAATTTATCTACGGGAATCATTTATGCAAAAGATTTCATACACTAGGATATATCTTAATTACCAGCTTTTGATCATATCCAACCATCTGGATGTGCGATAATGCCGAATTCACGGCCGATATGGAATAGATATGCCTCCAAGATTTTGGTTTAATAACATCCGCCAATGGAGGTGGCAACATATGCAACATTTCCTTCCAATGTTTGGCCATTGTCGCTTTCGGGGTCTGCTCGATAAATTCTACCAATTCTTCCATAAAAAATCGTCCGATTTGCAACGTCGGCTCGGTGGCATATATTATACCTTAATCATTATAATTTTCATAGATTATATTATAATTATATATATTCCTTTTTGTGCTTAAAGTATATACCTTTGAAACCTGTGCCTTCCGTTATAAATGGCAGTGCAAGCATACAGGTGTAGTTTGATATTAGAATAGCATCGATCTCTGAGAAATCAATTATTTTCTCCAGAGGAGGGGAGAACTCTGGAACCGAATCCACAAACACTCTACCGCAACATTCCTTTAGCTCCTTTTTTTTAAATAGATATAAATAGATTAAACTTATTTTTTTAAACTACAATATTTTTAAAATAACTATTTAAAATAATTTGAAGGATAAATTTTTCAACAAAATATATTGCAAACACCAAACTCTTTCCTCTGATTGAATACTAACTCCTTCGACTTGCCAATCTTGCTGATTGTCGCGCGGAAACCATGTCGGCAAGGAATTAAACTTGCTACTAGGAACCATCGGCAAGGGCATGAAATGCAAAATGGATTGCATATTTAAACCGCAATCCAACATCATTGTGATTCCTTTGAAGCTTAGAACCAGGCATGGTTTTGTTGGCTCGCTCGATAAGCAATACTAAAAATTAAAATCGCTGTTTATCTCAATTTTTTCACACAATATTTATCTCAAAAGAAATTCACACGCATGTGTGTGTGTGGATAATATTTCAAAATTGCTAACTACAAACACACAATTATAAGTATATTTATTGCATAATTAGACCAATTTTATATTTAATCGCGTACTTATAAGTTACAAGTGAAAATGTCATTCGTCGATTTCCTCATTTGTGCATTTAGAGGTTATATTTATATACTTTAAGGTTATGTCAAAAAATTGTCGTTCATTTAAAAAATCCGCTTATTGTTATTTTTTTCTTTTTTCTTTCTTAATGTTTGAGAGCAAAATACCATATTAAAGCGAGCATAATTACCAATTTCATCACGAATTATCTGTTTACATGGACCACATAAAAATATCCAATACGTTGATTTCTTCTTGCGATAATATACTTGAGAGCGACTCTTCTAAAACTAATCTTCTCTTTTGACAGTTTTTTATGAGTTTGCCACTTCTAATTCACAGATTTCTGTCGTGAATTGCATTTTTGAGACTAGTCTTACGATATTAAAATCTCGCGCATGCATAACAAGCGGTAGCAGACGCTGTCGCGCTGTCCCGCTTCAGTCACGTGTCACATGTATATTTCAAATTTCAATTATTGGCTGCGGTCAAGAAGACGCTAGAAATGCTTCGAAGCATTGCATTAATCAATCAGAATAAAGAAACCTTTAAGCCCGTATCAGACTATGCATTGAGATTGAAATTTGACCAATCAGGACAAAGAAATTTTAGTTCCTTTTATCCTGATTGGTCTTATCCTGATTGATCAATCAAACGCTTCGAAGCATTTCTCTGGCCATGTAGTTCCGCCAGCTCTAAAATGAATCCAGTTAGCGCCACTGTACCAGCTAGGAAAATGGTCTCACGAAAAACTCTCTGATAATAATCAATTATTATTAATATTTCATAGAAAAATGCTCGAAGTTATCGTTCTATTTGATGGATACTCTACGAAGTTGCCCAACGGAAGCATGGACGCAAATTGTACATGTACTTTAATAAAGGGCGCCAAATTAATCATCGTCGATACCATGACAGCTTGGGACCGCGGGAAAATAGTGCAAGGTATGAAAGTTGTAGAATTAAAGTAGCATTAAGTTGCTTTATACTATCTTATTTAATACTATTTTGTTACTTATTTAATTTATATGTTGTAATTAACTTTTTTGTATAATTTTTATATTTTTTTATAATTTTTGTATCCTTTTTGTATCATTTTATATTTAATTAATTATATTATTGTGAGTATGCGTGATTAATATATATGTATAAAACGTGTCATAATTATACGTTATCATTTTCAGCCCTTGCACGGCACAATATTGAGCCAGAAAACATCGATTATATTGTATGCACTCATAGCCATGCGGATCATATAGGGAACAACAATTTATTCACAAATGCAACACATATTGTAGGTTTGTGTTATATATATCATCGCTGAACAAAAGCTTCATTTCATTAAAATAGTTACATTTCTTTAGAAGGTTACGAGCTCTGTCCAGGTGTTAAAGTTATAGCCACGCCAGGACATACAGCTGAGGATGTCACTGTCTTGGTGGAAACGACAAAAGATGGGGAGAAGATGCTATTTGCTGTTACAGGTATTTATAGATCTCTGATAGAGATTAATTAGGATTATGAAGATTATATCAATTTTTTGGCAAAACGTTAATATATTAATTAGAAAGGTTTTTTTTTTTTTTTAATTATAATTGTATATTTTTATATTATTTTACATAAATATTCTTAATTTTACAGGAGACTTGTTTGAAAAAGAAGATGATATTCTGGAGCCATCCATCTGGAAATCATTAGGCATGCCACAACTGGTAAAGACTCAATCTGTTATGCGTTCTCATGTAATAAATCACGCGGATTTTATAATACCTGGGCATGGTCCAATGTTTCGTGTTTCACATGCTATGAGGGAAATTGTCAAAAACCAAATAATAGAATAAGATTGCAAATTCATCTCTTGTTGATATCTTGTTAATCAGTATGTCAGTCTGATAAATTTGTTATTATATTTTTACAAATACTTTATTAAACATTGCAAAGTGTCGTACATGATATCACAACGTTATTATACTCATTGTATACATACATTGCGATCTTTTTTATTACACGTTACACCGGATTCACAAACATATATGTTTATACATAGGAGCGATACCACCTTACATTGCGATTCTGCTCGTTACATCGACGCAAATCAATATAATAACTTGTCTTAAAACAATCTTTTCCATAACATACACGTTTATTTTGAGGAATTAATTCGCGAATCGATACATTGTTCTTAACAAATACAACGCTATTTAGACATCCTTCCGTTCTAAAGGGATTCACTTTCCTAATATCTACATTCTATGTTCGCAAAACAATTCTATCAAATCTTCACAGCCAACGACTAAATTAAAAGTCCTCTCTCGCATCTTCTGCATTCTTATCTAAGAATTATCTCGTAACTGGTAGAGAAGAGTTTTTTCTTCTGGGAAGAGGAGAATATGACATTTATAGTTTTACTCTACCACGATCGGAATTACGTAACTATGCCAAGAAGCCTATAAATATATCTCCTCCGAAAGAAATTGAATGACAAAAATCTTTCTAAATAAACTTGTCTTGTAAAATGATGTAACTTCAAGTTACATCCGAGACTTCCGACCGTCCTTCGATACAACATATATTAAATTACGATGTTGAAAGTGAAGAGATCGTATTAGGATCTTTTTTTCTCGGATTATATAGATTGAAATAGATTAGTATTTTTATTAGTATTTTTATATATATAGCGAGAAGGAAGAAATCGTACGATTTTTCACTCGTTACATTCCGACATGGGTCGCTGTTGTAGCAGCCCTAAAGTATTACAATGTAAACAATGTGAGACCGAGTGCCCCGCACTCCATGAAGCTAAGAATACTTTGTACGGAACGGCAAAGTCAATTCGCCGCGATTGTATCTAAAAATTAAGTAATTCTACGAGACCGAAAAATCTGTTTATGCTCGCGTATCTCCTTCTTACTTGTCGGCAAATTAATACAGGATATAACAGAATCGTGATCTATGAACAAATCTATGTTTTCAAGTTTAGGAATCGTTTATATACAGTTCTTATTACGTATGTCTCTCTCTAACAAGCTAACTTAACTTTCATCGAATTCTATAGTTTTCCTTAGATCATTATATTCGATGCGTATCGATTCTCGCGCTAATAAAGATATATCTTTATTTCATCGACGTATTAACAATTTTTTCCATATTATATATGGATATATTATAACATTATATATAATATATAATGATCTTTATAAGTGAGAATATTTGAATTAAAATTCACAAAAAAGTAATCAACACGATACCTGATTGTTTATATCAAAATTAATCTATCTACTACTTGGCGCGAAGCAATAAAACTGTAATATATAACGAAAATCTTTCCCGATGAAGAGATGTACTCCATTTTTTTTTTCATTTCGGCAAATTACATTAAAAATTGCAGGAAGCACGACTAGCTCCACAAAAGCCCTCATATCCTAAATATGAGCGGTTCCAACATTTACAATCGTGATACTTGTATTTAACGCAAAAGACTATCTTCGATCGATACATTCATCACTTAAAGAGGGGCTCGCCCTCAAAATCAGCAGCACGTTGTGACATTAGAATATCGATTGGTTTTGACCTTTTACAATTAATGTATACGCATTTAGCTAGATGGAAAATTTTTTCGAGACAACTACAGTTTATTAATTCTATTCTATAATCTATTATTTATAAATGTATAACACAAACGATAATTTTATTAAAAAAAGAGCGCGAATTAACTGGTTTAATATTTACGTATATCGTACAATTCTAAAATCATCGTGCAGCTGATTCTGACCGGACGCAACTCGAGCGAATGAGGTAAGAGAACGAAAATGATTGAACTTGGCTTGGCTAAAGAGAAATTTTACAAGTGTCTGCCGATCTGACCTGGCAGGGCGACTCGTGTATGCAGCAGTAGTGGTCCCGGACTAACTTCTCCCGTCATCATCATGACAGTCCCCAGCTGTCCCACAAAGTATTAAACAATACAATCAAGAATCAGCTTCAAGAATCGTCTCGCGCAACGCTCAACATCCATGTGTAACTTTTCTATGTTTGTTTTACACACACACATACTCATATGAGCCGTAATTATTTACAGAGGACAAAGCGATTATGTCATCAGGATATAGACACTTCGAATTCTACGTCAAATCAACTTGACTTGGAAAAATCTAATTGATCGTTTTCTACAAGCGAAGTTACCCGTATGTGTGTATTACATAATTGTTATATATTATACAAATGTCACGCATTACGCGATTTTATTTTTTATCGCTATGTTTTTACCCATTCATTAATTTTCGTTTCTGTCGTAAACACAATTGCTGACTAGAATAGTTGAATCTGCTGCATAACAACTGTAAAATCACCACAACAGAAAAGGATACGCAGTTTCGAGCCCTATTTCGCGCGTAAGGACAATTGCTTCGTATTCTTCAGTGTTTGTCAATTTACTTAACAAGTAACTTAGTAACTAAATTATATATGTATAGAGCACAGCGGGGAGAAGTCAGTTTGCGTTAACTCTCGGACAGCGAACGGCGTAACAGCCGCACGCACTCAATTTTGCAAAATTTCCTTTATACATGACGCAAAATAAATTTTTATGATTGATTTTATTGAAAAAAGATACTGTGTATATGATAATCAAAAGGAAAAGAAAAATATCTTCGAAATAAAAATTATTGATACTTTATAACATATGCACACGTGAAATATTTATTTCGATTATCGCACGAGTTTTATAAAACATTTTTTTTAACTGATCCGGCGTCCACTGGCGGAGAGTTAATAAACAGCGAGACATATATACATTCCTCTTATTCTTAGGCAAGCGAGTTGATTAAAAACCAATGATGTATTTACAATCCTTATCAATTTTTTTTTCAAAAAATTGAGGTATCGGGTGCGATAAAAGCGTCAAACCCAAAACTTTAATATTTATTTGTGAAATATATATATATATATATTATAATTATATATAAAAATGCAATATAAATTTATATAATAATATTATATATTCACAAATCTCGATAAATATTATATCAAGTTATTGTTTTAATTTTCCTCTCTGTTGGAATCATGTACACATTTTTAAATTCATTTTAAAAAATATAATTTCTCAATTTACGCTGTTATTGTACCCGAGTCCTCGATTGCTTGTCACGGAGAGATTAATTCGGAAAAATCGGAAACAAGAGAAGTTATATTGCCCAGATAAAATTAATTCTACATGCAAGAGAAACATTCAAGCTGATGTTTTATATGAAAGAACGAAAGAAAGAGAAATGGTAATTATAATATCAAATAATGTTCGATAAATGGTCTCTATCGCGTAATTACATTTTTTCTACATATTGTCTATATTGCTTATATATAAGGAATGAATTTTCTCTATCAGGAACGGAACAACTCAAGTTTCTTGCGGATTTAAAAAATTCGAAAAAAATAAAAATAAGAAAAACGACAAAAAAAAAGTTTTTTATTCCGAAAAAAAAACGGGAAATTTGTTTTTCTCTCATTATTATTTTTCCAGAACTTTTCAGAATGATTATTGTTTTCTTTAATACATATTTCTATTTCGCATATGGTATCATCTTGAAGTCTTGAATTCGGGACCAAACGGAAAAATTTTTAGGGTATAAAGTTAATCTTAATTGATGTCAAATGTCAAACTGTTAGAGATATTTATAGTTTGTGTGTTTATGTAATATTATATTTTAATATTTTTAAATTCTAGAAATATTTAGTCTCGTTCCCGATGAGATTCATATGCTGTACAAAGAATATATGCGCAAAAATATCATTTGTATCAGTGCACACATAATCGTATATATATATATATATATATAGGCTCTTGTTTACATTTTAACTCTCACATTAATCCAAATAGAAATAAAATACACGAATTGATATCGTTCGTAATGTTCGTGTATCATTCACTTTCATATAAAACGTCGTATTTAGTGAATATAACAAATGCAAATATATGAAGCATGTAAGTTACAAATAAGAATCAATCAAGTAAATTGCAATTTTGCAATTAATACTTATGCAAAATATATGTATGTATTATACGAATTTCTCTCTCTCTCCCTCTCTCCCTCTTTCTCTCTTGAGCGTTTAAAAAGAGTCTAGATATACAGGAGGTGATGGTGTCAGAGAGGCTTGCTGTTAGTTCTACCTTCTGTGTAAATTGAGAATTACATAGGGCTCGTCCGGATTAGTGCTGACGTCTGTAGTGCTGTTGTTAGGCTGATAGCACGGGTTAACAGTGTAATTGAGACTAGGCTGATGAAAACTCACCGGCTGAACACTGGTCCTGCGTCGCTCCATTTCACGATCTTCCAGGCAAAAGTCAGAATCCGAATCGGCTTTTCTCGCAACATCATCCTGTCGTAGAATATTATTATAATATTTTCTCTCATTCAACATTAAGATAATAATAATAACAAAATCTGTTCTATTACTGTTCTGATTTTAAAACAATTTATAATTCGGGACAAAATTTTCTCTCTATCTATGATTTTATGTGTCGATTGTCCAAAATAAGTATACCTAGCATATAATACAAACTCGCACGTTTGGAGGATATTGTACCTGCGTCATCTGTTGCGTAGTCGTGAGGATTCTCGCTAACGGACTGCAACAGACCGGCAACGTTTCTAGCAACGTAGGCCTGGAGTGTGTCAACAAGGGCTTCATGTATTTGGTATCGAAATCGCCCCAGATCCTAGCGAGTAACGCTTTTTCGTTAGGCTTCGCGGCGCCGCTACTGCCTGGCAACGCTCCATCCTGCATAGAATTATACTGTGAAATGCGAACAACGCATCAGTTATCCATCCTGTATGCGATTTTCCATCTTTAAACGGATGCAATATGTACACCTTCGATTATTCGCAGACAGATCGCGTGTTGAGAGAAATTTTAAGTGATCCCCGCTTTTAGAGCGTGGGAAAGAG